AATACATGAGTTATATCAAAAATACCTGGGCAGTTATTACAAAATATATTTTGATCTGAATTACCTAATTGATGGCCTCATTTCTCCACTCAGTGTTGGGAACCATAACCTTAGCTGACAAGTGGTTGTATGTTGTCTGTCTCTGCCACAGGAATTTTCTGTTTAGGTGTGTCTGAAGGAATGAAGTCCCCACCTAAAATATTTACTAGCAAACTGACTCTCCTTCTTGGTAAATGTTTAATCCCTTCAGTGCAAGGTTCACGTTGCTCAAGACTTTCATGAGAGTTAACACAGGCCACCACACAAGTTGTTTATGCAGAACTGCAACTGGACTTTCCAATGGTTCCCAAAATTACGTAGAATGTACAAGCACTGCCTCTTATCAATGACTAATATTTTTATTGGCACTAGTTCAGCGTGACTAACAATATCTAATTTTTTTAAGACCTAGACTTCTTTTAAGACTTTAGTTAAAAGTGATTTCAAATTATGTGCACTAAATACAAAAACAAAACAGTAACTTGCATACCCCAACTTTGGTGTGGACATAAATTCTGAAGTAATACAAGAAGATTTACAGCTTTTATTATCTTTTACTCTCATGAGCTAAATTAACTTAGCAGATTCACAGGTCCACAGAATCAAAGAGCCTATTCACTCTTTGAGCTTATACTTGTTTTAATGAACCAGGATGAACAGTTTTCAAAGGAATAGTATTTTATTTTTTGTGGAGACAGCCTTTTATTTCTTACTAGTAAGGTTTTAAGACTAGGCACTGACTCACTTTGGTTCACATAATTTCCATGCATGTACATGTGCCAGGACTGAGACAATGAGTATTGTCTTTTTTGCATTTACATACATATTACTCTGCAATTATAGTTAAATAATGATACATTTTGTACCTAGTCTTCCCATATACTTATTTGAGGAGGAGTGAATCTTATACTAGTGTATAATCCCTCCCCTCCTCTACACCACAAATTTCCAAGCACCAGGTGTCCGGCTGCTCAGCCCCTAACTTATTGCTAATTCAATGTCTTTACTCAGTTCAAAAAATTGAAGCAGTATAAAGAGTGGGCAGTTAGAGCAGCTGTGCAAAGTGAAGTGGGACAGCCTCATAAGCTGCTTTCTCACTAGGCCAGCACTGCAGTGGGCAGATAAAAGGGAGCCATCAAAAGCTCACCTGCAGCTCATTCATCCTTAGAACAGGGAGGAGCAATGACCTCTTGCTGCTCTTGAATGGAAAGGAGGATGCTGGAAGCAGAGTGTGGGCTGCTGCCCTGCCTGGGACTTGAATTCTGGAAACAACTAATGTGCTCTCTGAGCCACAGGAATTCCCCACTGCGTCCCAGACCACCATTCCCATTTTGCTTCCTTCCAAGCCAGCAATGTGTCACTGATACCACAACAAGAAAAAAACAGCCAGCAGGCACAAGGCCAAAAGGTGGGAGCAGAAGGGGACAGCTGCAGAGTGGAGCCAATTTACAGGCCAGACACAGGCCTAGGAGTCTAAAAATTCCTGGAACAGCTTCCACTAATTAGGTAATTCTATTGATGCAGAAACAGCACCCTCTTTCCCTTATTTTGTTCAAGATCTGTTTTCCCCGCTACCCCACTGTAAGCACATTGAAAGCAGACGTCTTACTCATCTTCCTGCTGCCCTCGCAGCCACGCCCACCATCGTAACTCACAAAAAGTCTGCCACCGTCTTGATGTTACAAGTTACTTTGCACTGACATGGCTCACTTTTAAAAGATGAGCTTTTCTGGTAAGTCATCATTTTTAGTGGTTACATCCTTGGTTAAGTCTCAGGACTGCCCTGGCGGAGACAGTTGTGGCTATTACGCAAAGCTAACAGTCACAGCCGTCCCTGCTTCATTCCTTTTACTGACTCAGAGGAATAAAGGAGAAGCTGAAAGTGGGGCTTCGACAAGCTCTTTTAAAGATAACTGACACTAAAACAAATTAAATACATACATACATACATACATACATACATCTGACACCACGTACCTTCCCACGTAGGACCGAATGTGACAAAGGTGGGTGAGGACGATGGTTCTTGCAGCCCCCCCACGCCAGCCTTACCCATTACTCGCAGGGATACACTCGTGGATGCCTCGCCTTGGTACAACAGCTTGCCGTGGCCCCACAGAAGCTCTACATGTTCGGAATGATTATTGAAAGTCTACTATTTCTTCATTACCTACCTGTTACTTTTAACTATTTAGACTTCATTTGGAGGCTCAGGAAAAGGATAACACAGTTAGATGGAGAGATGGTACAAATATAGATGGAAACATCTATATTTTTACATTCGTTGTTTCAGAAATAACTAATGCTTACAAATATTTTTACTCTAAGTTAGGTTTTCCTAACAAAGAATTAGTGTTTAAGCCAGATACCCTGTAATAGGAGCTAAATAAAATAAGACTCCTGACATAAAAATAGCAAATAGTACTACACCTCACCCTTTATAGTATTTACCTTGCTCTAACTCCTCAAAGCCCTCTAAGCATTAATATTTAATTTAGTATTCATTGCATCTAATAAGCCTTTTTTACCTACTGATCAATTCACACCTTGCAACCTTTATCTGCAAGAGCCACAACAAAAACATCAATTTAGCTGAAGTGGAAAGAGACAAAGAGACCAACGTTGATGCAACCTGGGAGAGTCACCTAACATCTGCCTAGCCCACATAACACCGTGATTTAAAACCCTACCTCTGCAGCTGCTATGTGTGACTTTATGAAGGTATTTTAAGAAGCACAATAGAAGTTAAGGAAATGTGATTACCATACTGTTAATAACAAGTGAAAGACCAACTAGAAGCAACCTGAATACACTACAGAGATTTCATAAATTCATGTATATAAATATGAAATATTCTAAAGTCATGAAATTATTAAAGGTTATATCTATTAAAAAAACCAGAAGTATTTGTTTTAATCTTCTTTATAAAGAAATAAATATATATTTTTTTCTATTAGAAAAGTATACACATTTAAAAAACTAAATTTTATAAGGAGAACTGTCATTTAGTCAACAATTTAACAAAGGGTCTACCATGAGTCAGGCCCTAGGTCAGGCACTAGAACTAAAATGGTATAAAAAAAAAAAATAGATCTGACCTCTGCCTTCTTGGAATTTACAGATTTCATTACTAAGTCAAAATAACTGCAGTTATGTATGTGGATATTTTTTTTTCTCCTAAATAATAATGCTTATATATTAATATTTTAGTAATATAAGCCTTCATCTGGCTAAGTGTGCGTTACAGAGCCTGTATTGGGAGCTAGGCATTTATGACAAATGTCAAGAAGTAGCACACAAAATGACAACTATTGTTCCAAACGTCACGGTGTATGTCATCGACATCCTTGCCCTTTCATCCAGTGAAGAGGAAGAAGTCGTGCTGCTTCAGGCCCCTGTGGCAGTCCTCTCCCTCCTTGCTAGAAGCTCCCTAACTACCCCTCAACCAAGTGACAAGCATGGCTCAGCCACCTTTCATTAGAGAGCTGAGAACGGAAGAAGCCATTTCCGATCCCAAGAGACCTGCCCCCGCCACACCCCCCTCAGAGTAAACACTCAGCTAATAAAGCCAGCACCTGGCACAGCTCCCTGCAACACTGCCAACTTGACCATAATGATGGATGCATAATGCACACCTCACATGCAGAAACCGACTATCCAAGGACTCTGCACTTTGCCCAGTAATTTCTCCAAGAGGAACTCTCATGATTGTAAGCAAGCATAAGTCACACAATGAATCAGAAGCTCATTCAGCTTATCTTCTCCTGAGAGCCTTTCTTTTGTGGAGATAACACTGCCCTTTCCTTACACAGGCAGGTTTGGACTTGCCACTTAGGTTTACAAAAGTAGTACAAATACATTATTTAAAAATGCATATAATTGAGAAAACTACAAAAGAAATGGCTGAGGAAAGAAAGGGATGTGGCTGTGGAGAGGTATGTTCAGGGATCATAGATCTCTGCTGCTTGAGGTGTGGCCCATGGACCAGCAGTGTCGACATCACTCTCAAGCCTGTTGGAAACGCAGACCTACGCGCTCCACCTGAGCCCTCCTCAGTCAGAATCACCTGGAATGAGGCCTCCCGGTGTTTCACATACACACAAAAGCTTGGGAGTCACTATTCCGGATACCTGTAATGTTCTATTTTTACACCTGGAAGGTGAGTACACTTAGTATTATTCTCTAAAACATACACACATTTTATACAGCCTTCTGATTATATGACATGTCTCCAGTCTAGCCTACAAAGATGGACACCAGGCCTACAAACTGGCAAGTCGGGGTTGTGAAAATGCGGGCGAAAGAATGCTGCATGAATCTGATCTTCAAACAGTAAACTCAGACACAGATAAAACTTCAGAGATCACATAACCCAACCTATTCACTTAATGGGAAATGAAACCACGTGGTTGAGGAAAGGGCATGCCTTTCTCAGGGTCCAACTGCTACATTACTGTGGCAAAGCCAGGTGAGGGCTCAAGTCTCCTGACCCCGGCGATGTTCTGCGTCCCACAACGATACTGGTTTAATATGTCATGACTGAATTTTTTTCCCGATATAAACAAATACTCATGTTAAAAGAGAAATTGGTATTAAGTTAAAAAAAATTATTTATACCAGTACCTTGTATATTTAATAATAAAAATCTGATAGGTACTAGTTTGAATGAATGATCAACTTTGAGGCAAAGACATTGTTATCCACATCTTCTCAATGCGCTAAGCTAAATTATAGAATAATTAAGTAATTTCCTTATGTGAGAAACCACAGAGCTCAATTTTAAAACGATTTGTAATACCCTCTTCCACAGTAACCAAAAATCACCCTTTATCTATATCACAGTCAAAACAGTTTACATGTTTAATATTTGAGTGCGAATCTGTTTGATTTCAAGGAAATCAGTATCTTAAGTGGGATTTTTAAAATTATTACTTCGGATATTGAAGAACAGTAGTACTTACCAATACTGATTTCATCATCTGTTTCAGCATCACCAATACATTCAAATTGGAAATCTTGCAGTGACTGGGAAAACTTCTGCACTGCCATAGACAGATCTGTAATTAAAGTTTAAAAGTCTTAAGTTGAAGGTACCATGGAATACTCAAGTTTCCGCATGTAATATTATATAACTTTGATGTTAATACTATATTAACCAGAGCCTTTTAAAATACCAGCTTGATACATATAAGCAGAATTCAAAGAGACCACTAAAGAAATATTTTAAGAACTGGATCTGCTCTGCTCAAAGGGGATCTGCCTTTAAGATAGGTTTGGTGCCAGTCATGTGTTATCTGGAAGCCAACTTCCCAAAGCCTTTACCAAAGAATTACCATTCCTTCCCTATAAATGAAGAATTTATTTTATTTTTTGAAAAAATGGAATGCTACCAAGTTTGCTGGTGGGAAAAAAGTCAGTTGACCTTTGATTCGAAAGGGTCATTGACGTTATTCTACACAGACTGTGAAGCAGGTAGAGAATATATTTTTACCAATAAATCACTGGTTTTGATCTTCTTCTAAGGCGAAAGGCCGCCTGAAAGGTTGTTTACAAATAATCGTGATTTATCAGAGACCTCCAACCAAACATACTCTTACAATCCTAACTTCAATTTGAACAAGATTAAAGCCCTACTAAAAGGCAGAGTAGGGCTAGATCCAAAAGATGAATCTTTCTTTATTCCTGGAGAGAATAAAGATGAGTCCAGGATAATAAGAAGGAAAGTCCTGGGAGACAAAAGCCTGGGATGCAACCTAATGGACTGACTAAGAGAGCAGACTCTGGAGCCCGGCTGCCTGGGTCGAACCCCAAGTCCCACCACTCGCATGACCTTGGGCAAATTATTTAACTTCTATGGGCCTCTGTTTACTCATCTGTAGAAAGTGAGGGGCAATGGCATAACCACCTCATAGAATTGTTTTAAGGATTAAGTTAATATTTACAAAAGATTTAGAACAGAGCCTGATACTTAAGCACTATTTAAGTCTGTTAAACAAAATTAAAAATAAATCAAGCTTACAGTGCGGTATCACAGAAGCTTTAAAGGTCCCACCTCTCAGAAATACTCCAATCATCTATGCCAACCCTTCCACAAAAGTCTGCATCAGTAGGAAACATTTTTGGGGAATTCACTCCACATTTCATTGAATGTTATCTCCCTTGGGTTCAAGTCCAATACCTGAACCCTCACATTTAATTAAAGCAATAGGACATGACAAAGGCTCTCTCTTTGACCGATCTTTATAGTCAGGCTCCTGTGAGTCCTCTTCTTGACTAGGCCTCTACTTTGGCTCTCCTTCCTCACTGGACCTGCACAGCCCTGTTTTAGCAAGAACGTTATCGAGTCGATTTAGAGAGAAGCCCCAGCCTGGATATCTGATCAAATTCCTCAGCCCCCAACTTTGATGAAGAAGTTCTTGGCCTGTCTTCACCAAGAATCCTCCTACCCTTGATGTTTCCTCTTGGTAATTTTCCACTCACAACACCCCCCAACCTGTTCCTTGCCTATGTAAATCCCCATTTGTTCTTGTTGCATCCAGAGTTAAGCCTGATCTTGCTCCCCTATTGTGCCACTCTTGGCATTTATACCAACAGCCCTGAATAAAGTCTTCCTTACCCTGTTAGCAAGTGTCAGAATATTTTTTTCTTTAAGGGAACAATGATGGCTCCATGCCTAGACATGGCCCCATGACTTTTATGATAACCCACCACTCATGAAACTCCAAGCCCAGTATCTAAGAAAGTAAGCACTCACACATGAACAGGTCTCCAAGTATGAAGGTCACTTTCGGCACCACTGTGATCCAAGAACTCACCAACACACTGACACCACGGACAATTCTGAAGACCATGGCCCTGAGCCTCAGAGAGGTTTTCAAAAAACAGCAACAAATATAAACACACACACAAGACTGAATTTTTTAAATATTGTTTGAAAAAATAAGTCATGCTCTGGAAAGAGGATGTATAGTGACACCCCTTCCCCCAAGAGGGGTAAAATTTGGGGACGAGCTCACATCCTACTTGAGAGCTACTTTCAATTTAAGAGATTGGAAGTCAACCAGATTAAAAATAACTCTGCTTTGGACTTTCAGGAAGAAAGATGAAGAGAGCCTCCGTAGTGAATGATCAGTCAATGAGGAAAAGGCCTCATCAAGAACTAGACTCCACGAATTAGTTGTGAAGCCTTGAACAATCACTCATCCTTCCTGAGACACATTTTTCTTACCCATACAACAGAGAATTAATATTTACTGCACAGGTCTGTAACACAGATTAAATGAAGATGTGCCTGGTACACACTAGGCAACTCAATAAATGGCTTTAGTTATCATTCAAGCCTAGCTCCTTAAGGTGGCAAAGTCAGCCGGCCTTCCAGACAGAAGGGCACTCTGCAAAAGTGTGCGTTTATGGGACAGTGCACAGCTCTGGCTGAGGGTAGAGAAATAGTAACACCTGTATCAGATGTTATGAGAAGATAAAGACAGGAAGCACGCTTGTAGGATAATTTTAAGCCAAGCTGTTTGTGGGTACCCTCACCAAGACTTGGGAAAAAGCATTTTACTTAACATTCCTTTATTTTCCCATGTAAAATATAAAGGCTTATGCTAAAATGGATTTGAGTTACAGATGCAATTCCTACATGGCGGAACTGAGAAGGAAGGAGGGGGTTATATGAGTAGATCCGGACACTTAGGTACCCTGTAACAGACACCCTCCTTCTCTCCCCTCCTCACCACAAGCTCCTCTGAGTTTCCCCTCAAAATTCAATGTTACCTGGAAGCTTTTTCCTAGTGAACTTGTGATAACCCCCAATGACTGACCATTTCTTCCAAAACTGTCCTTGGCTTCCCATGGCTTGGCTCCTTGACTAAGAAAGGTAAGCTGCTTTGTCCTTTCACAGAGATCACGGTGAATGCACCGGAATAATTCTTATCCCCCACGAGAACACACTACCTCACTTTGTAAGCTACCCTTGTCAATATAGCTAAGTGACTGAGAGTTTGAGCTCTAGTGGCAGATTATACCAATTAGTGTCCTGCTTCTACCAGTCAGTCGCATGTTTATGGGCAAGGTCCACAACCTCTCCGTACTTCAGCGTCCTCATCTGTTAAATGGTACAGAACCCATCTCTCACGTTTATTGTGAGAAGCAAATAAGTGAGTTAATATAAACGAAACACTTAGAACAGTGTCTGACACACAGTTAAGCACTTAAAACGTGTTAGTTATTTCTATGTTGAACATCTCAGAAAAGAAAGGAAAAGGTAAAATTTCAGGAATGACGGTAGTAGCTGTTAGACCTTAGATATCCTTGAAAAGTGCTCAAGAAAACAATTTGTTGATAGGCATTTCAAATTCTTTCTTGGTGCACTGCAATCATGCTGTAACAGAGACAATCTGATTAGTCAGTATTTCTATGTAAGAGTTAGGTATCTGTTTCAACCCTGGATAGAATCAAGAATGCAAGAATTATCCCTTCACAGTCCTTTCAGAAGCATAAAGAGAAAGGATTACACAAGGTAATATGGTTTTTAACTATTTCAGGTGATAATTCCAGAAATAAAGAGAAAAGTTCAAAATACAACTTATTTTCAACTTCAAGTGTCTTGTTTCTTGATTTTCTTTTTACTTTTCTCATTTTCAAAAAACAAAAGTACTGATGAGGTCAAAAATATTATCAAGGTAAAGAACTTATGATATTTTCTGGCCGCATTATTTACCAGGCTGCAAAAGAGGAATCCAGCTCATATGTTTAACCTTGGTTCCATCTCTTACTGTGTACAATTCTGACTTGGAAAACCCAATACCTTCTATTGACTTAAAAACCACATGAAACAACTATTCCCTAAATCTAAAGTTTCTAAGCACTGATCAGATGCGCAAAACCCATGTACTGGTTCTGAAACCTTTTAAATAAAATAGATTCACATGTGATTATATTCCAAAGTTTGAAACCTAAGTTTTTAAAGCTTACAGTTGAATTTTAAGGTACCAAATTGTGTAATGATAGAATCAACATTTTATCTTAAATGCAAAAAGAAAGATCAAGTGAATAAAACATTACAACCAGGAAACATAGTTTAGGCAAGAGTACTGTTTCTTTCTCCCTATTTCTACCCAATTATTAGAAACTGAGGACAACCAAGAAAAATATCCCAGGCAGAGCTGCCATGGCCACATTCTATGGTGAAGGCAAAGGAATAACATTTACTAGCAAGCAACGTTGTAGATAGTAAAGATGCTATAAGTACCACTCACACCACATCCTTTCTATTGGCCTAACCTGCAAGGTAAGTGTAGGATGTCTTCATAAGTATTCACCTTATAACTTGGGAGAAATTACACTGGGCTTTACTCTGCAATGTTTTTTATATCAAAGGGTTAAACTATAGCACTCATGACCATATGATGCTAATGAAATCCTAAAACTTCTTTTCATTAAAGAAATACAAAACAATAAATGTTTAATTATAACTCTCCTTATATGCAGACTTTAGAACTAGAGTCTACCTGTTACTTTACAAGTGTTAATAGAATATACTTTTACAATGTCAGCTATGGAAGTGAGCTATATTTATGTCAGAACAAGTACAACCAGCCAGTCCACTGGTATAAGGGTATAAAGCAGCACTTCCTGAAATCCAGTTGCTCTCTGATTAGATTTAAGCAGACTCACAGAAGCAATATATCCAGACATATCTCTAGAATTATCGTCTTCACACTATCATGAAGAAGGCAGACAGTACAAAGCCATGGGAATTCCAGGTAAAAACAGAACACAACCTTCCCTCCAAAAGGGCAGAGTCCACTACGGACAAGCGCCATGTAGATAAATTCGATCAGAGGTCAACCGATAGTCTTCACCAGAGGTTAACGCCATCACCACAGATAGTACTTACTATGTGCCTGATACTTTTCCATGCCTTTAATGTAAATTAAATCACTAATACTCACAACAGCCACATAAATTATACATCATCACTACCATTTTACAGATGAAGAAACCGAGACACAGAAGTTAAATGACTTCACCAAGGCCACACGAACTAGTAAAT